GCGTCCTGCAGAGGCTGGCGATCCACGCCCCGGGCCGCATGCCGGAGCCCGCCCGCCCGGCCGGCTGCGCGCCGAGCCCGCCTGGGAGTTGTAGTGCAGCCGGCGGCGGGGACTACAGCTCCCGCCATGCAGCGCGGCTGCTCGGGCAGTGACGTCTTTGCAGCGTTGTGCCCGCCGGGCGCGATCACGAAACGGAGCCTGGTTTGGGGGTGTAGCCACGCTGGTCCGGGCAGGCGAGGCGCTTGGGGTGAATCTGATCTCTTTTATTCGACTAAGTTAAAAAAGTTGGAAAACACATTTTCGGAGCGAGTTTTCCGGGTTTAGAAAACGCTGCAGTTGCGGGGGTGTGCGCCTCCGCCAGGAGCCAGCTTCCCGCAGGCCAAAACCGCAGGTGCCACCACGGCCCCGCCACCCCTACGACCACACTGCCCGCCGCGGCCGAGCCACCAGCATCCTAGGGCTGCACGGCCAGAAGTGTAGTCATCTCTCGCACCCCATGCACCAGATGCCCCCATGGGAAAGGGGTGTACTTGGTAGCTGTGTTGGTCTGAGTCAAAAAGACATACAAAAAACTAGAACTTTCCAAGACGGTACCTTTCATTAGACCAGCTGGGAAATGGATCACTTTTGAGGCATTTAATTGATGCACCATAGGCAAAACCCCAAGTCGCTCTCAGAAAGTTTTAACTGGCTTCTGGGTTTGCTGCCAGCACTTCACCAGGATGGCTCTCCTCCAAATAAACACTTCAGTTTTGATGACCCAGTTCTCACTCTCACTAATGTCTTGCAGCGAGCAATGCAAAGCAAAGAAGATTTATTTGCAGGCTTCTACATATTTTTTCACTGGACAATAGTTTTTTCAGCAAGTGCAATCATTTTGAGCCAATAGGATACTGTAATTTCATATTTAAGACCTGGCAATGCAGCTGATCTTGCCCGCCAGACATGGGCAAGGGCATGTGGGTGCACCTGGCAGGACAGGGTCCATCTGGGGCATGGCTGGGAGCTGCAGTGCCTTGCCCCAGGGGGTCCCTCTCCCAGCAGGGATGAAGCCCTCTCTTGGCAGGGTAGAAGCCCCTGAGTGTCAAGAGCGTGGCATAGCCTAGGTTGCTCCTGCAGCCATACAGTTGAATGCAAGCAAAACTCAAGGGCATCTGAACCCCAAGCCTGTGGGCTGGGGCCTGCACATAGGATGCCTGCTGAATGATTTGGAAACATTTGAAGCCTCAGGTGGGGTGCAGGATGTTTGCCGGTACCCGGGCCACATACAGTTCTTGAATGACTCACGGATTTGGAATTGATTTTGCCAATTTGGCTTGGAACATGAAAATTTTTCCTTTAAAAAAAAAAAAAAGCATGGCATAGGAGGATGGCTAGGGGTGAAGTCATCTCCTCACCTTTGCAGGAGGTGCGGGCAAGCCTGGCTCTGACACCCAACAGGATTCACATGGCTACGGCTGGCAGACGCCGGGTGCTGCTACTCACTTGTCGCCAGATGCCAAGGACAGACCATAATGCACAACTGCAGTGCCTCTCACTGGCCCCTGCCCAGCTCTGGAAAGGATGGAAATGTCTCTGTGCTCAATCACCCCTCGTGCCAAATTCCTCCATGGTTTCTGCAGCCAGCTCAAAGCACTCCTCCATTCTATACCCCGCTGCCAGCTTTACCATCTCTCTACCCAACAGGTTCCCCCCCATGTCCCTGTTTTTGCCTTTTGTGCTGTCCCTCCTCACCCTTTTACTACTGGGGAGTGACAGCCTCACCCTCTGTGACTTCTGAAAAGTCTCGTCTGCCTCCAGCAGTTCTCCAAATCTCAGCCCTGTGTAACCATTAACTCATACAGAAGTGGGGCTGGAGGGGACCTCAGGAGGTCATCTAGTCCAGCCCCTTGCTCAAGGCAGGATCATCCCTGACTAGACCGTCCCAGCCAACAACTGCTTTTAAATACTTCCAAGGATGGAGATTCCACACTCTCCAGGGAGACGCTTAACCAACCTCATAGAAACTTCTTAATGTCCAACCTGAACTTCCCCTGTTGCAAGACAGTTTTCCTTGGTTTTCCTTTTTTTTTTTGGAAAAGAAAGATTTATTTGATCCCTGGAGCAAGTTCCAGCCCAGCTGGGCCATTCACACTCCTGCTTTTCATGTCTCACAATCAGGCAAAGAGCAGCACATGGCTCCTCCAGACAGAAGGAGACCAGACAGGAAAAGGACCTGGACAGAAATGCATGTTCCGCTTAATCAGCAAGGGAAGGTGGCTTAGGGTCTAAGGCACAATGCCACCTAGTCTGGACTCGGGTCCTGTTTCCATTGTTCCTTGTCCCGTTTCTTGTGGCTACAGAGAATAGCCTCTCTCCTTCTTCTTTACAACCACCCTTCGGGTACTTGGAGACTATCAGGTCCTCTCTCAGTCCTCTTCTCCAGACTAAAGAAGCCTAGTTTTTTCAGCCTTTCCTCATAAATCACGCTTCCCAGTCATTTTTATTGCCCTCCACTGGACTCTAGCTAGTCTGTTTGCATCTTTCTTAAAGTGTGATGCCCAAAAACAGACACACTGCTCCAGACAAGGCCTCAACATCTGTGCTTATAGCTATTAACTCCTATCTTGTTGCTTGCAGAATACTATGTGAGGCCATAAGATATTAATCTAGCTTTCTGGCTTCTTCTAGCCCCTGTTTTTGTATGCCACCCAGGCCAGGTCTCATTTCAGAGGCAGACTTAATATCACTGCTATTAAGCCCCTTGCTAATTACTGGTCTTACCCCTTTATTTTGTCATGCATTGCCTTTTTTAAGGATAAAATCAAAGTATATATTTAATTAAGTTGAATTTCTCCCTGCTAAATAGCTGTTTTTCCTGCCATCCTCCAGCACAGGCACTTCACTGAGATATTCCAGGATCATTTCACACTGAAGAGCCATGTTAACCAGCCCAGTGCTTCCAGCAATCCCTGAACTGGTGATGATTTGTTCACCACAGTGAGCTGCACCTCTTGTACTGAGGAGGAGTTTTAGCCCTGATTTTAATGGGGTCCTGGTATGAACCCTTTCTGTTTCAATAAAGGGTAAGACAGTCTCTTAAATAAAAGCACTTTCTTGCAAATATTAGCCTGAGAATCAATTGCAGACGATAAGGAGTTGATTGCTTACATATGAGCTGTGATGCCCTAGTTTGTACAGCCAGTTCTCCCTAGGCAGCTGGGGAATTCAGGGTTCAGCCTCCAGCAGCTTCTTCACCAGACTGCAGAAAAGCTTGACACTTCAAGTCTTTTAATGCTCTGCACTAAACTGCATCAGTAGTTTTCCCACTAGTTCCTTCCAGATAACACCTGCCCCCCCTTACCCAAGCTTCAAGTGTAACCCCGTAGCAGCTTTTAGCTCAGCCACTTTAAAATGGCACCTGTTCAATCCCAAACCCAGGGCAGCATAACAAGTCACTTGTTGCATAGATTAAACCACTAATGCTAAAATCAGTCAACTGAAGTAGGCTGCAAAGTCCCAACGGCAAAGTATGACTTTACAGGAAGGAGCCAGCCTGCATGGGATGAAGCACGAGGGGACACGAAGCTGCTGGGTCGACGGTAGTGTCGTGGGGATGAAATACAGAGCTCCCCAGGACGGGGGGACAAAAGCATGGCACAGGCAAAGCAGGACAGAGTTGTCAGAGACTCTCATTAAGCAGAAAAAGGAGCTAAGCCAAGACCTAGACATTGTTGCATAAATTGCTGATTTTATCCCCTGGAGGCT